AATATGCCAAAATTTGTTCTTATAGATATTGAGGGACAAGCCCTTTCCCGCAGCACTAGTAATACACTGATACGGTATTGTATTTGAATAAACGAAAGAAGTACAATTTTCTGTTATAACGTTGTTGACTGATTAACAAACCAATTGACCCCTCTCAAATACAGTAAAATAGAATAGTTGCGATTAGTTACGGGAAATGGAAGAATCCGTGACTCACACAATGATGATGAAGGGCATGATGAATTACAAGAAGAAATGAAGAATTCTCTGGATGACTCAAAGCGAATTTATTCAACAAAATATGAGGGACACCAGACGAGTTACATCTTATTTAGGTGGTAGTTGTTGTGATTATCTAGTTTTGCATTATCTATGTCTGTGTCCTACTACTTGTGGCTAATAATTCACTTGTCACCAGAATCTATGTTTGATGTAGTCACTTCTCCTGTTATAGGTGCGGGAAGCTTACTAAACACAAGGGTAAATGACATTTGGATAATGATGTTAGGTAGAGAATTGAGTACTTACTTCAATTAACCGCCAACTTTCGTTATATAAGGTTTGATACCCATGTATAGTGGTAGTCTCTCCTGCTTCCGGAGAACTCCAGTTCATTACATCAACTGAATATCTTTGAAGGTCATTTTCATCTTTTCTCTCGTCAAATCCTATAGCTATACATCCAAAGCTCTGTTCTCCAGCTCTGGTGTTCGAATACCTCTCTTCTTCTCTAACAGTCCGGAAATCCCTCGCGATACTTAACGTCCCAACATCAGTAACGTTCATATATTATAACATCAAGAACTTTAAGTTCAGATGATAGGACTTTAATTTTTCGTGCGACCTAGACTTGGAGCAAAGATAGAGAACGGGACGAGGAAGTGGTGAGGACTCAAAACCGATTGTTTTTATTTGATCCAAATGAATAATTTAGATACCCGAGAATCGAATTAGTTGTACGTTTGAAGTTGTTATGCTTTGCTCCCTACTTGTAAGGAGTAGCCTAGCATAGCACGTAACCTTATGTCTGTAATTTTAGTTATTTTTTTTAAAATTATCTAATGTGTATTCAAATTCGGGACTAGTGTATTATAATCATTAGTTAGACTTTAAATACTAAATAATGTGTATTCAGCTATAAAGCTACGACACATGACCGGTGCTATGTATACTTATAGGACGACTCTTTTGACGTTAGAGACACTCATACTCTGGATTTCATTCGCAAAAACAACTATGAGGTGTGCTTGCTTACACAATGTTAAGCAAAGTTATACTAATATGAATCTCTCTCAGAGTTGATTGAATTGATTATCCTCTACCATGAGGAATCTATCTAGGTACTATATACATCTTGAGTATCCTACTAATTCCAAGTATAGACTGACTATTAGATAGCCCATGCGAACTGCTCAAATCTCCATTCCATACATGGTTCTGAAATTGGCCGTTATATTATCATGGGCTATAGAGAAAGTGAAACAACCAGGGAGTTGTGCGTATGAAATTGGCCATCTGTCTAATCGCTAGTTGTAACATTTGCATGACTAAGTTATTGCCCTTGATGCATCAGCCCAGTTTACTTGCTTGTAAACTACTCAACTTAGACATCATGATACAATATTTAAATTTAGGGTAATCTGTTTGACACACAAACAGTCGACCCTCCTCCGTGAGTACCCACCAAAGGGAATTTCAAAACCTTTGGTTATCCAAGCATGCCTTCGTCATCCATAAACACAAGCATTGCGAGAAAGTGGTTGTGTTTTACCAGATTCGAACCAGCGATCTCTTGTCTCGAGTGGAATATGTATCCGAGCAATCCAGACTCTACTTGGCAGACCGGCCAAGACGATGTACCACCGCACCATCCGACCATGGCGATGTTTATAGTATCGCCTGCACACTCGCAACCGAAGCCTTGGCATGCACAGAGCTCAATTTGAAAAAACTCCTTGCCAACATTCGAAATTTCACGCCCGGCGAGACTTTTTTTTTAAATGCCCGTCGAGACTATATCCATCTTTCGCATCGTCTTGTAAACTTATCCTGATCCCTCTCACGTCCATCGCAAAGAGCTGTCTCCCAGATTTGCGCGCCACGCTTTGTCTCCTCCTGCGGGTGGAAATATCGGCGTGGGCGTGTATCTGGTGACAGCTGAGGCCAGAGAAAGTCGACAAGAGGTGTGATCATTGGGATAAGGTTGTACTAGGTCGTACTTGTAGGCTTGATGAGACTTAGGTAGGAGTCTAACTCGTTGGGAGCGAAAAAAACGACGTTGAGGAGTATTTCGAATTATTGCCTCATGGGCCGACTTGTTCGGTAATGCAAAATTTGACTGAACTTGGCTCTGGGAGAATAATTCACTCCCAGGTTCGCTGAGGACACCGCGTACAGGTGTTCAGTCTTGTCCTCCTTTCAAACCCTATGCCATGCATGCACACGAATACCGCAAGGAATCAGCTCAAGGCTTGCTGGATCTGAACAAGCCATCTCCTGCTTCAAGTGTAATAAGTGTCCAAACTATCCAGTGCCTGCTTTTCAGACCAGCCCGGATGCTGTAGCACTTCGATGTGCAGGCTGGGCTGTCTTTGCAATGTCACCTGCACTCCTGCAGTCTAGGGGTTTGCGGCACGACGCTCATCGACTGCTAAAACTTCAGGGCGAATTTCGAAATCTCAAGCCCATCGAAATTAAATCCATCCTTGCACCACTCTTTCGTGATCTCTCGCACGTTCATCCTAGATTTGCGTACCACGCTTCTTGTCCCTCTACGGTTGTAAATGTCGGCGTAGGCGTATGCTTGGTGGCCAGAAAAAGTCCAAGAGAGGTATTGTCACTGGAATGAGGATGTGGTAAGTCGTACCTCTAAACTCGGGGTTTGGTGGGGATCAATCTCGCTAGGACGGAGAAGTTGATATGGTAGAGTCATGAATCATTGCGTCGTGGGTCAACTTCTTTGGTATTGCGAAGTATTGGCCGAAGCTGGCTTTGGGAAAAAATTTCACTCTCGGATTCATATGGTATACGGCGGACGGGACTTCAGTGTTTGTCTTTCTCTGCTGACACTTACGAGGAAAACTGTACCATCTCTGGTCTGCTACCACGACGCTTACACGCCAAGGCTACATAAATGTTTTCCTCTCCACAGCCCGGTTCCTGTCGTCCGCCCACAATTACGAGCTCACTGCCGTTATCCGCGCCTCCCGAGCCAGCTGAACTCATGGGGGTGTGTAGTCTCGGCCTCTGATGAAGTGCAAGCACATTATAGTTATTTAGTTCAATATATCGGTGTCCGGCAGGGTACGCCACAAGATCATATAATAGGGAAATTATCATGGCTGGTACAGTATTAGAGTGGCGGAAAACCAACTACTATCAGTGACGCACCCCATGAGTCTCGAGCCCTCTCCGTAGCGACTGTAGAGCCAAGATTTAACAGGCATTTTTAAGTCTGACCTATTTCATCTCCCATTCCCTCAAATATGCACTTTCCATGGTGCCTACATTGATAAAGACGCTGGCAAAAATGAAAGATGATGCGATACCAGACGCTATCACTGTATTTGAAGAAGCCCTCGTTATATGACAGCATATGCTACTCACCGGCGGGTAAATAAAAGTCAACAAAAGCGAAATAATAGACTTTGCGCCCTCGAGAATAGTTTGTTTCGACTTCTCAACAAAATCAGCTCTTCGCATCCTTACCTGCGAATATGCTAGCCAGAAGTGCATCTAAGGCAGACGAGTTACCCAATTGATCAAAATCCATAAAGACTTTTGAATACTGGGCTAGGCTCCTATACCGCCATAACTTTCGATCGAGACTTTTCCGACATTCTTTCTCGATCTTTGCCTTGTTCTGCGGTAGAAACCAGGCAGAGAAAGGCTCTTAGGTATACACAGCTCTACTGCAACCGACTTACCAGCTTCTTCAAAGGATTCAGAATGGTAGCAATTTCTTCGGATTCAATCCTGATGTCGCTATGGGAGCCCCATGACCAGTGGTTTTTGAGGATTACACTACAACAACATACTCACAAATCACCTTCGTTTCGTTGGCTGGAGGAGGGATAAGATGGCACCGTAATGGCTCTAAACCTATGCTTAAATGAAGGCCTATGGGAGGTTTACCGCTGGAAGAAGGCTGTTAATAAAGCATGAGAGGGATCAAATAAAGTGTAGATACGCTCGGCCTCTAGACAAAATAGACAACATGTCCTCGTAAAGTCATAGATTCAATGGGACAAAAGGTAAATAAACTAAAACAGTATTCATCTTTAGCATGGGCTAGAGAACGTATGACTCGTGTAATTACCTTGGAACTAGTGGTTCTCATCATGGCAAGATTTTCGCACGATTTGTTACGAGGAAATGCCTACTGTTAGATGCGCTTCTTCCGCCATTTATCAAGAGGCAGAAAGATGGTTCGCTCTCATCTTTGCAGGACAGGTAGACGATCACAGGTGATAGCTGTACAGAACTGGATCATTCCTGGGTCCCCAAAAATGCACTTAGGTCAGCTGAATAGTAAAGGGTCATTTACAGGCATTCTATATGCCAAGTTCGATTTCATTCAAATCAGTAAGTCTCTGATCTTTACATCTTTGGGGTCGATTTCGATGGAATATGAAGGAGCCTATCTATGTCATCAGCCATAACCTCGGGCCGCACAATGGGCCAACAGAAGAGTATACCGGCAGGCAAATAGACCATTTGATGATTCGTCCCATTCCTAAAATCTTGAAGGCCTCGTTAAGCACAAAGTGCCGCGGTAGATTTTTAAGCTTATTAATTCTGGACGCTCATACAGCAAGGTGTGACTCATGCCATTAGACCAAATTGTACAGACACTATGACCCAGCAGCGAGACTTGTAACTTCATCTCCAGGCCTTACCAGACAGCAATGTAAGAGCTGTTAGTCGAGCAGTTCATAGTCTAGCGGTATTATAATATTCTCACGCTCTGCATACTGTGAGTTCGCGCAAGCACTCAGAGCTCATCGGCTTGGACTTAGGGGCCGATTAAAGCCTCCAACCCTGTTCATGTATTGCCGGTACTCAGTCTTTTTCTCCTTACGGACGGCCGAGATATTATTTCCAGCCACCTTCTTCTGATGCGTCGTGTTAAAGTCACCGAAACCCATCATTGCCTTCATGGCGGCAATATCCGCTTCTTCCTCCACGACGATCTCGTCAGCTTCGACAGGCTTGAGTTGAGAATCAGCTTTCGCCTTCTTGCCCCGCCTCTCTACCTCCATTCGGTCGGGTTCCGATGTAGGTCCTACCTTGAAGCTGACGGGTGAAGTGATGAGGCCCGGAGGATTCTCGGGCTCTCGGCTTCGGCTTACTGGCTCGCGAGCCGGCACGACGAGCTGCTCCTTTCTCGGGCTCCTGCTGCGCGATTCTTTCCGTCCCGTTCGAACACGCACCCCTACGATACCGAGTTAGTTGGGGACTCAAGAGTGATATGGATGGGATTTGCTAACCAGAGTATCTTCGGTTCGAGGAGGACCGCTCGCGCGGGCCCGCGCGAGCATCTCGCTCGCCATCTACACCATAGTTAGAGCCAAGTCCAAGTCAGAGATAGCGGCGACTGCTGGCGACCTACTTCTATCGCGGTTTCTTCCCCTTCGCTCGTCCCCGTCCTCGCGACTTCGGCCCCAGTTTCTTGAATCACCGTCTTTGCGGCCAGATCGGTGATCGCGCGGGGAGCGGCTACGATATCGCCTGTAATGGTCCCGACTACGATCATCGTGTCTCTCTCGCCCTGCGCCCCGTTCACCGAGAGGGCCTGTTGGTCGTCGGTCGGATTCATCTCGACCTTTCCTCGGCTCCCCGCGGTGTGCACGATGCGTATCCATGAAGCGTTGTTTTGGAGAGCGAAAAGGATTTGTTGTCTGTGCTGCCGTTGTCAGTCACAGTTACCGTCAATTACCTTGTTGCGAATGGAGTGCCCTCCGTTCCCTCAACCTCGAGCTTCGTTTAGCGTGAGAAGACCGTGCCTTGCAACTACGTCAGCCTTGTCTACCCTAATACAAGTGGATTCGCGTGCGGGACGCGACAATCGGCACAGCCAATTGTGACTGCAATTCCTGGCCACTTTTAAATCACTGAGGTAGTGAGATTATACAAAATTTAATTGTAGTCTCCTCTGAGTCTATGGTTGTGGAGGACTTCTAAAATATGTGTGGAAAACTATGACTGCATGTAATGAGGTTCAATTTTGTAAATTATGAATCTTTTACCGCATATAGAGGTGGTCATTGTCTATTGTTCGGTTTGGTTTGATATTTTAACGTGGTAGGCAATTATTAACCCCGGCACTGCTGTGGGACCTTGAGCACGAGTGGGTCTAGACTGGATCAGGTAAACTACTATTTAAATACAATAATCCTCGTCCCACCTAAATATCTAGTCCACTTCAGACTACACCCATGTGTTGAACATGCCATGTCCAACCGTCCAGAGATCCCAAATTTGATACGTCAAAGGGCAATTTCTCTTTGAGACACAGCCACTACGTGTCCGAGCCCTTGACGCTCTCCTAATCTCTAATTTGTCCTTGGGGGACTATTCTCAACACCTGACAGTGGTTTCCCCTACGAACCTCCAGCTCTCACTGTAGATTCTGCAGAGCCGAGATTGAGTAACAAAGTCCTCACTTCCATGAGGATCTCCAATCACTTTTGCGGTCTGTATCGTCTTCATCCCTAAGCACATCCACTATCACCATTATCATGAAGCTAACCACGGTGAGACCAGACGGTAGGGTCAAAGCTCTTCTCGTCACCAACCCTTGATCATGGAGGAAAAGCCATCCATGAGTTTCTGGAACCTACCCAGCACCCGATACGAAAATGATGAAGTAGATCAAGATGGCCTCGAATGTTGCAAAGAATGGAGATATAGATGAATTTGCGCACCTCAGGTGGTCCCGGTGTCTAGGCATCACCTGGCTGGAGCTGCAGGTTTTTTGAGACTTTTTCCGGTGCACGCAGTTTCCATTGGTACCAATTTTTTTTGGGATAAAAAGTTCCGTGGAGAAGGTGGCTGAATACTGAGCTAAATGGCTATTCATCACGGGAAATATATCAATGATATTACAAGAAACATGAGAGGCAAGGAGAACAGTATAAGGTGTGGCCTGGGCCAGAGAGAAGCCCTGTGTGCTGGATATTCTATGACTCAAGCAGTACAAAAAACACACCTCTCTCTCTAACGTGTCCTTTACGTTTAGTGATGGCCATTCTTCATCCTAGCATTTCATCATCTCTCAGAGGTTATTTCGTTAGAGACCTCGTCCAGTCACCCACCGAGGTCCCCTCAATTTTCCTTCCTTTTCTTCCTCCATTGTAGCTTCCCTTGAAATTTTTATCTATTTTGCCATCTTAGAAACTTAATAGACTCTCCATCTTCCCGGCCTTGTTCCGTTGCTGTAATACCCTTAATGGTTGAGGCCGAATATGGGTCGAAAAGCTGAAGACCGAGGCACCGATGCCTCGACCTTTGTCAACTTCTCAAGTTGCTGTGTCGGCGAACTACGTACGACATTTCCCCGGTAGCGATTCATTGCAGATCATGTTATTGGTACCCTTGGCCGAGATACTGACGAAAGTCAAGGCCGGTACCTTCACAGCGCATGACAGTTACAGTGAGATAAATTTCCACTCGAAGCTTAAATTAGGAGTATGACTTTTGGATCTTGAAGCGATTCGATGGGCAGTGAGATGACTGTCAAGAGGGGCGCGAGGTTAATTTGCTAGGAAAGATCTTCCAGGAAAGTTCGAAATATTGAGTAAATAAATAAATTGTTTAGTTATCCGAATTTGGCGCCACGGGGCCCAAGCAGGTTTTATCGGAAGACAAGGACTTCAAGTAGGATGACTCATTTTGACGTCTATAACACTCAGACTCAGATTTCATTGGCAGATACCACTCGAGGTTAATCCTTACGGCGTATAACCTCTTCCGTGCGTACCCACCACAGGGAAAAGCGTGAAAAACCTGTGGCTATCCGAGCGTCCTTTCATCATTCCACAAGTACAACACCACCGTCAGAGAGGGTGATGTGTGGGTCTGTGTCACGGTTCGAGTGTCGATGGGGGAGCAATCAGATATACGAAGGTAGTTTACAATTTTCTCTATGGCTAATTATCAGAGTATTACTTCAACTATTTATACATCTATGAAAAACTCTAGAATATCCGTTCTTGACTGATATCTGCTTCTCGTATACTCCAGCCATAGTAGTTCCCAGTCTTACTACCAATTACTAGAATATTCCTGTCACAGCTAAACTGATCTGGAATAAAGCTAGACTACTGTAGAATTATAGAAGCACGTGAATACAATCACGTGCCACACAACAATCGGCTCACAAGCCGTTACAGTCTGACTGGATTCGAACCGGCTTTCTCCTGTCTCGAATGGGGTAGGTGTTCAAGCTACCCAGTATCTACTTGGGAGAACGGCCCGCATGGTGTACTACTGCACCATCCAGCCCCATACCTGGGGTATATGTGGTTGAATTTTTTGGTTTGTGCGGTCGTGAAATCTCGGCAGGTTGTATTTTCAATGAAAAACTTGCCCACATCACTCTTCCAGATCGCCATCTCGACGGAAACTCTCGCATTCACCCTATGTCGTGGCTCGATCTCGGCTGTGGGTGAAAATTTCAGTCTCGTATTCTTAGAGGGCACCACTAACAGGTTTTCAGCCTACTTCGTGCTACAAGCTTGAGGAGATTTTGTCGGAGATGTGGAGTCTGGGAGGGGAGCGAGCTAGACGGTGTTGCGACAAACTGTACGTGAAGCCGGACGCGGGTAAATAAGATGCAAACCTAAAACCCATGCTGTGAGAAGGAAAGAGTCAATAGCGTGAATTATCATCTTCCGCTTCCAATTAAGTTGACAATGCCTTCGTATAATTAGCAGTCATCCAACGACCGAGTTCGGGAGTTTCACCGAATGAAAAGCTCAATCCCCAGAAGCTAATCTAAAGCTTTATGCGTGAGTGATTGCTGTATGTCCAAACGCCCTGATAAATGCCTCATCGCCTCCCAACGACCCGAAATTCATGTGTGCAGGAAGGATAATGTCGACCCTCATTTCCCTTCATGTCCTGGCTAACGAGCGCCGGCTGGCCAAATATCTCATCTTTCGTCGCTACCTTGGAGTGTAAAGTACGGACACGATAGCAGGTCGGAAGGCCGATGACAACCATCGTATGCAACGCGCTAGGTGGTCCAGGTTAACCACCCGTCAGTACCGTCGGAAATGAAACGGAGCCTGATATACTCTTCCAAGACCGAAATTCCAAAGCCCAGCAGGGTGACATCCGGTCAATGTGGATATTTATCGACGGATAAGAGGTGTGACGACACCCTGAGCCAGATGAGCTAGGGTGGAGACGACAGATGGCGTGTCTGGCTCGGCGGCATGAATTGTGGAGATAAATGTCGGAAATTTATTCTGGGTCCTAAGAGTCAAACTCCAGCGCAGATGTTTTGTGCGGCAAGGATGAAGCCTTGGCTCGTGGAAGGCCGTCGTGCATGATTCAGCCGACGAGTTTCCAGTAGCGATTCGGCGTCTACTCTGGAAATGCTCTGGCCGATATTGGTTCCAGGTCCATTCTAAAAATACCTCTCAGGAGCCTTTTGATTATAACAAGCAAACGATGGCCCAACTGCAATCCTCCCCACTATCTAACCTAATCTCCTCCACTCTGCTCTCTCTCCGTGCTCTCTCGACATACGCAGCCACTCCTTTAGCTTTTTCTTCACTGTTACTCACGAGCTATCTGACCTCCAGCGTCGAAATCATAATCTTAAGTCTAGTCAACTATATACTTTACCACCTACATCAACCATCAAAATGCGTTCGTCTATCTTGACATCCTTCAGTCTTCTCATCTCTAGCTATGCTTCCGCCTCATCCATTCATGGAGCCTCCAGCCTCGAGCGAAGACACGGACACGCACAAGTCCAGCCTATCAACATCGTCATCCTTAATGATAAGAAGAATGACGTTCATAAGCCATTCTTCCCTACCTTTGGTGAGCATGACAACTTCAAATGCGGCAAAAAAATCTACAAGCGGACGAAGATCGACAAATCCCTATCAAAGGGTTGCCAGGTTTACAAAGAGCAACGACAAAAGAGTCCATTTCCCTCCGTGTTCACTGCATTCCAGACTTATAGTCACGCTCCCCTTCTTGAGTGGCCCCTGCGATGGAAGCGTACTTGGTTCCTTCACTTCCGCGGTAGCCGTCGGGTCGTATTTGACGACAAATGCTGCCTAGTTGGACTCGTTATCCGAAAGCGAGATGGAAGTTACCAAACCTGCACACCTATATCAAACTGAACGTGGAACCCACCATTAATGACGGCGCCAAAGAACCAAGGGTATCAACGAGAGAATAATTACTGAAGGAGAGTATCGAGGGATTTAGAGGGCCAAGACACGTCTTGATAACTCATGGAGAAATTATAGAGTTGGAGAGGTTGTCATGTTAGCTAGCTCCTAATAATCAAATATATTGGACGAGAACACCCAAGTATCATTGTCGGAAGCAAGTGATTTCGGGCCGCTGCCTTCCAGGGGAACGTGATCCTTAATAGCAACTATTCCGTATTACTCTTGTAGTGTTTTGAAACGAGTCAGGCTATTAGAGGCTCCGCTGACTTTGTCACGTTTACTTGCTCCATAAACTACCTTCATCCAATGAGTCTCCTTGTATGATCCATGACTCTACAGCCTAAAATCTACAGTAACCTACCATTCCGTCCAGGAATATCACCCCAACCTTCACCGTTATCTAATCAAATTTTGCCTCATACCTCCAATACAATAGTAAGCCCGTAATTTTCCGATGTTTTTGATCACGCCATGCCACTCTTGACCTAGTGTTAGTCTCTGGTAACGGCTCTGCTCGCACGATTTTCATTGCTACTTTCTGGAAAGTGAGCGGCCTGGTGTAGATGAAGCCTTATCATCTTCCACGCCATCATTGTCCACAATTTCGCATAGCCATTATCTAGGTCGAGGCACGGCCAATCTTATCCCCAATGATTCTTCCTCAGTCAGCAGAATAGCCATTCTCGACCCTGGGGTGATGAAACTATTTGCGCCCCACTCACAAGACTAATAATAAAATATCCCTTGCATGGCTCCACCTCATCACAGATCCCGTCTTTCGGTCAAACGACTCGTGCCGTTTCCTCTCAAAAAAGACAGACGTCCCTGTCACTAATTTCCCAACGAACTTACCACATCTGAAATTGGCGCGCTTGCGCTTCTACCATGTGCATGCAGAGAGGTGGAGTGTCTATCGCTAGTATCCTACGCGAGCCTCAGAACCAAGGTGCCATGCGAAGTTTCAGAATAGACCACGCATAAACGAAAGATGATGATTCAAGGCTTCCAATCTCTTTCCTCTGGCATGAGTGCTCCTGTTGTATGTTGTGCCATCTTTTCTCTACTATTTCTCCGATATTGTGTCATAATTAGATAACTACATACGCAATTACAATCTGACGCAAAAAAGAATCTCTTTCCCCTTCTCCCCCTAGGAATCTTCAATTCGAATGAGGGTTCCATGTCATCATGAACGACTTTATACGCCCCCTCCTTAATGGAAACAAGCATGAACAACTCGTCAACGGGCCTAGGAAGGGATGAAGGTTTTATTTTGTTAAAGATCACTCAACCGTAACGTCTAAGGCGCTTCAAGATACCAGTCAGAGGTTTGTAGAAGATATATTGCTGTGACCCGCCATTCGAGCTCAATCTGTTCGACATATTTCGAGTACGGCTAGCTATGTTGCAGCATTTATGTATTTTAGTCAGTTGGCCCTAATTTCCGTGCTCGTAAGGTTAGTTCAATGCAAAATGAAAGGTAAAAAAGTGAGGTGTGTTGTTGTTTTTGTTGTTGTCGAGGAGCATGGCAAACGTGTAGTTAGGAGTATTTGCTGAGTCATCAAGGCAATGACTCAGCAACAGAGAGATGTACCACTCTTAGTGCAAAACAAATTGAACTACTTTCCGACAATTTTATTTATTTACAATATTTAACGCTCCCTATAGAGATTTGCCTTTAACAAAGAAGGATCCAGCACACTGGACTATCAGCTAAACTCCTGGCTCAACGGACAATACGACCGACATGTAAGAGGATAAAACTGCCCGCAAACGGGAGAGAAACTCTGCATGCCTTAAACAGGAGTAGAGATATCGCCGAATGAACAAGAGCTTGCAGAAGGGAAAATGGCAAGGGTAAGCTGAAAGAAGCTGAAAAGATAGCGGCCTTTCAGGAGTGGAAGGATTCATGGACAAGCCAGATCAGGAAACACCGTCCTGGCCGACCAGCATCAGCCGATCCTGAATATTGGAAAGCGGCAAATATATTTACTGATGTACAAATAGACAGCGCCAAAATGAAATTCAAAGATACAACCTTAAAAATCCACCGTAACCTAACCAGGGCCCAAAACTGTGTCGCCATTCAGCTTAGAAGCGGGCATATCGGGCTCAATTCTCACCAGTGCAGAACAAAAGGAACCGGAGTAGAAAAGTCCAGCTGTCAATGTGGATATCCATCACAAAACGTCAAACACATGTTTTTGGCGTGTCCGCAGTGGGAAAATGGAAGAGGCGACTTTCTCCGACAAGCTAAAGTCAGGTCATTTGAAGCAATGATGAACAGCTCAGAAGATGTGGCTAGAATCACACAGTGGATACCAAGCAAAGGGTGCATAAAACAGTTTCGACTTGCAGGGGAAGTCGAGGTGGCAATGTCAGATATAATAAATCGATCTGAAAGGGGAGAGGACGGAATCCACACTGGCTGAACAGTGTAAACTGCAGTTCCTGAAGTTAAACTAAACAAATTGATAGTAGTATAAACAGACAGCATCAGGGGGGTTTCACCGAATTGGTTTACTCCTTTGTAAATAATGAAGATAGTCACCTACATGGACCCATAGGGTGCCTGATCGGGTTAAATGAAATCAAACTCAAAATATAATATTTAACGTTGCCAAGCAGAAACAAACTCAGAAGCCTCGGCAGTTGGTAACTGCAGATTCCGAAACTTGGAGAGCAGCCAAATTTTACCAAAGTAGAGAGCCTGGACGGCAAAAACCGAGTTTTCAAGGCTCACCACTCTTCCCACACCGTAACATGACAGGGGCCCAAAGCAGTTTGGCAATGAAAATGCGAAGTGAGCACATGGGGCTTAACTCGTATTTACACAAATGAAAAGTACCCGGAGTATTAAGTCCAGGTTCTCCATGCGGCTACCAATCACAGAAACCCAAGCATATGATTATGTCCTGCCCCAACGGTCAAATGGTAGAGCTGACATCTGGAGACAAGCCAAAGATCGCTCCTACGAAGCGATGATAAAAAATCCTGGAGATATAAAAGGATAACACTGTGGATCCTAAACTGTTGGAAATACAGTTTCCTGCTTTTCTTTCTATCGACCAATGTGGTTGCATGCATCTTGCCTGAACTACATTTCTGAGGTCAGGCAGGATCCCACACTTCTAATTCAATAGGACTCAACGTTAGAGTCTGCTTGAATCCCATTCTTCCCGAACAAATCCAGTCATTGGTTTGTTCGTACTTCTATTGCGTGACCCAGTATTCTCAGTCAGTGGATAATTATTTTCTGGTACGGGGTCCCACTTATTTCTGCAGTCGAGTCGGTTCCGGGTAACCTCTATTTCTTATAATTCCACTGTATATATCATAATACCTGTAGTCTATTAGTAAATCAAGCAAACTGAACCTCTTCTCCGTTCTCAGGCAATTCTTACTCCGAAGTCTTCTCTATACTCTAACATAAACCATGGTTGGATAGAGCAATACCAGATGACAAAAGCGGTTGAAATACTTCTAAGGGAAAGTAAAAGGTCAAATAGTGCTTGGGGAGGATAGAGATGATCTGGTTGGTTTACATGGATGGCACTATAGTGTAACTGCGCTTCCTGAAGAAAATTTGTGAGAAGTACGGACAACATATAGAAAGGTGTGGGAGGTTTTCACCATAAAGGTTTCCTCCCGGGTAAATATTATAGACTGTAGACACCTGCATGGGCCCATAGGGCGCCAAATCAGGATAATGAAATCAAATTTAAATATTTAACGTCGTGCCCCCGCACAGCACGTTAGATTTTCACGCACCGGTTAGCCCAGTCTAAATTAAACGACCCGACGCCGTCGGTTAGTTTATGTAGACTGAGCTGGCCAACACGAGACCTTATGGTTGTTTGTTTGTCTTATTGATTATGTCCTAAGCTAATACTATTTTTTCGACAATGGGCCAAGGACAGGTGGAGCCGGTGAGGATCACTGTGTACATGCCAAACTCATTTCAACTGCGTGAACTTCCACATAAATAGTGGTGTTAACAGCAAATCTAAAATCATAAACAAAAAACAAAAATATAAATTAAATTCAGAAGAAGTCCCAACTAGGTCACGACCCCGCGCTTCTCGCCCGTTGTCTTTCCTGTCACATCTTCCAAGTGACAAATTCTGATCTTCGCTGAGAGCAGAAGCTGAGCTCACAGGCACCCTTTCTCCAGCCGGTGTCCTACTGTTAAGGTGTTGAAGCCTCAACGACTTCACTGAGACTGGCCGTAACCTTAAACCTCCTCTTCAGATTCCAGAATCTAAAAACCCGATCCGTCCGACATGTAGACGTCATTCTTTGAGCCGTGAATCACCTGAATGGCTATTTCGGCTGCAGCTTTGATTCGAGCATAATCGGCGTGATATTTCTGCTCGGCTTTGCGAATTATCGCAAGCTGCTCTTTTTTCACTTGGCCGAACTTGCTAGGTCTTGCTTTGCAGAACCGCGAGTCCGATCAATGAGATCCACCACAGTTTTGAGACCGTGTGGGGGCTTTGCACTCTGATTCAGAATGCATTTTTGATCCGCAGTTCCAGCAAGCTGGAGCACGGGAGCAACCGCGTGAGGCATGGAAGCCATGATATTGTTTGCACTGAACTATGTTTCCATGAGGTTGGAAGAGCTTTGCAGCTCCGGAGTCATCGAAGAGCGAAATCCAGGTCGGGGCGTGCATTCGCGAGGGAAGAGCGCTTGCCAGTTCTGGTATGGCGCCCCGGGTTTGCTGGTCTCGTAAGGAAGAACAAGAAAAGGAACCGATTTAGTCACTCACTTAACTTCATCAGGAACCATCTTCGCCGTTTTTTTTTTTTTTTTTTTTTTTAAATCATTTAATGTGTATTCAGCTATCTAGCTATGACACATGACCGGAGCTATGTATACATGTGGGATGACTCTTTTGACGTTAGAGACACTCATACTCTGGATTTCATTTGCAAATACCACTA